AGGAACTCTCCTCATCCCCGTGTCAGGCCATGAGACAAAAAATAAGGGTCCCATAACTAACATCAAAGTTGGAAGGATAGGAGTCTCTCTCTCTCTCTCTCTCTCTTTCTCTCTCTCTCTCTCTCTCTCTTTGTGTGTGTGTGTGTGTGTGTGTGTGTGTGTGTGTGTGTGTGTGTGTGTTTATGTTCTAGGGCACTACTGACAGATAAACTGGGACAGAAGTACTGATGCATTTTGTGTTTCTATGACAAAATATCTGAACCATTATTTTGCTCAGGACTCTGGTGGCTGGATGATCTAAATGGAAGTGTGCTATGAGTATGAGGGCCCCTGACTCTGTCACAGCATAGTGGAGAAATGGAAAGGTGCTCTGTGCCAAAAGGCCAGCCACATAATGCAGACTTTCTTTGTAGTGACCCATTCTGAAAGAACTAAACAGGTTTTGTGAGAAACACATTAGTCCTTTTCAGATAGTATCCCTTTATCCCAATTGCTTTGGACTAGGACCTACCTCTTAAAAGACCCACAGCACTGACACACTGAGGATAAAGCATCTATCACATGAACATTTAGGAGACATATCCAAACATATCCCAACCATAGCAGAAGTATAAAAGATATGTGCTTGAGTGATTGCCCTTGGTCACATTTAATGCAGGAGTCAAAGTGGCTGGAGACCAGTAGTCTTGGTGTATCTTACCAGTAATCTGCGAATGGTGTGAAAGCAACTGTGGGGAGTCTGTTCCTCGATGAGAAAGTCCTGAAAGATGATAATTACCCAGCTCTCCACCTCTTCCATTTTTCAGGATTGGCTCTCCAAAGTATGCTGCACTCTGCACTAAGTATAGATTCTATCTCACCTTCATGGTCTCAGCCTTTCTTTCTGCTCAGCAAAGCGTTTTTCTCCTTCTTCCTTTCATCTACAGACACTGTGCAAATCATTCATCTTCCAAGACACAGTCTATGCATCATGCTCCAGGAAACTAAATCCTGGATTTGGCTTGCAAAGTCAATGCATTCCTTCTTTCTTCTGGACGGAATTGCATATATACTCTGTCTAGCCATCTTTAATACTATATTGCCTTATTAAATTTATCAGTCACCTCATAGTGACTCTAAGAAAATCCTTACAAAACAGAGTCCTGCATGTCTCTTGTATGTCCATCTTGAACAATGCTTGGCATTTACTTGGTAATCAATAAATGCTTGTTAAACTATTGAACAAATCTATTTGAACATCCAATGAGTGTGAAATAAAAAAACCCTCCACAAATGACTGGTTGGAAATGAGTACTTCTTCTCTTTTTATAAGTTTGTTAATGGAATGCTACTCAGCAATTAAAAGGAACAATTATGGTGCATTCAACGGTTCAGATGGCTCTCAAGAGAGTTATGCTGAGTAGAAAAAGAGTCCCAAAACTTGCATACATTAAGATTCCTTTACAGAACATTCTCGAAGTAGCAATATGATAGAGGAGCAGAACGGTTTAGTGGTTACCCAAAGTTAAGGAGCAGGGTAGAGAGAAATTACACTGGATATGAAAGAAAGAAATAACACACACACACACACACACACACACACACACACACACACACAAAATGAGATCCCACTACACATCCACCAGAATGGCTGAAATTAGGCTGACAGCACCAAATGCTGGCAAGAAAGTGGAGATAGTCGAACTCTAACATGCTACTGCTGGGAGTGTTCATCAATACAAACACTGTGGGAAAATGTTTTAGTGCTTAGAGTTTCTACCAAGGCTGAAAATACACGCACCTTATGATCCAGCATTTCCGTTCCTAGGGTTGTATAACCCAACATAAAAATAAACATGATTCATAATATATTTCATGCAGCAATACCTTTTATGCCAGCTCCAATCTTGAAACTGCCTAATGTACATCAGTGGAAGAACGGATAAATCGTAGTGCATAGTGTGTCTGACTCCCTTCGTTTAACATTATGCTCTCAAGTTGCATCCATTTAATAGGACACAAATCCCATTACTAGGATCCCACCCTGATGGCCTCATCTAGCCCTAATCACCTCCCAAATGAGTCTGGGTTGGGGGACAAACCATCAGTCCATAACAACCCTGCTAGTAGACTATACAGCCAGACAGTTCATGGATCAGTATGGATGGGTTCAGAATCATCATGCTGAGTGGAAGAAACAGACACGAAGGAAGATACACTACGTGAGCCCACAGTAGAATGAGTCTATGCTTCCAGAAGTTAGAGTTGTGGTTAATTTTGGGGAATTATTGGAGAAGACGGGGCTATCTAGGGTCATGCCGTTGTTTTGTGTCTTGACTGTGGTTCCTGTTTCACAGGTAATTTCAACTTTGTAAAAATTCATCTAATTGCACACATGGGAAGTGTGCACTTTAGTATATTATATATTTTAGTAAAGTAAATATTTTAAGAGGAAAATGTTTCATTGCCAGTGTACATTAGGGTTTCAGACATTATACTAGGGTCTGGGGAGACCCATAAAGATAATAAACCCATAAAGATGAGGATCCCCTGCTCTCTGGAGACACCACTTCTTTTCATTTCTCTTGCAAAGAGCTCTGAGTAGCAGATAAGATCAAGAGAAGCTTTTCTGTTAGTGGTGGCTGTGATTTTAATTAGTTATTGAGCTAAAAGGACTTGCATCACAGAGGCTTTACCTTGTCTTTAGAGCAGAGCAACAGAGATTTCTTTTTTGGTAACGCACTTACTGAACTCTAAATCTTGAGTTACAACATCCCTTCAATGGTTCTTTTTAAGACTTCCTGAAACTTATTTTCAAACACTAGCAGAAAAAATTGTCAAATATAATTGCTGTAAAAGAAAAAAGGTCCTCTCATTAGGAAACCTGCCTGTAGGAATTCAAAAATAAAACTGTGCAAGTAGGAATCCTTATTTGCCTCACATGGAATTATCATGGCTAGGGGGAAATGCTCCATCTGTGTTTGTGGACCTCACCAGGGGAAAATGGACCCCCTAGGATACATTACCTCTGGCAGGTTAAATAAAGGACAGTTCACGGCTTTCTCTGTGGTTCAGTGAAAACAGTGTATCTTGTCATTCCATCCATTATGATCCTGTAATTTGCAAAACACAGGAGGCATTAAAGTGGGGATAATATCACCTTAGCATGCCAAAGATGGAAAAGAGAATTAATGAGACCAATAAAGCTACTCTCGCGGGAAAAATAGAAACACAGATGGGAAATGGTGGCGGAGTTGGCAAGCCTGCAGGCTCAGAGAACTGTCTGTAGCCTGCCTTAAACCCAGCACTGTTCCATAGAACCATTACCCATCCTCACCCCTGCCCTGTCCCAGCAGAGCCTACCTGGGCAAGATGCAGAGTGCTGGCAGGGATGAGAAATCTATCAAGAGGTCAGTGGGCACTCAGGAACACCATTGTGTGCCTGGCACAAAGCACACCTTGTGGCAATGCAAAGAATTATCATGTTGCCTGTTTACCAAAGAGTTTATGGTCTATTATAAAAGGTTAGATGCCCTCACTTCTCTCATGCTACCATGTATGCATGCCTGAGGCAGGGGTCAGTGAGCACATCTGATGCTTTCTCACGCTGGCAGTGTTCTTATCACAGGGAGTGGGCCACCTGACAGGGGCCTGGTCCAGGTTCTGCACAGCTGGACCTGGTGATCCACGTTGGAAAGGCTGAGGAAGGAGGATCATAAGTTCAAGCTCAATACAGGCTACTTAGTAACTAAGACCCTATCTCAATAAATAAATACACACATACATAAATAAATGTAAAAATGGGTTGGAAATATAGCTCAGTGTGAAGACAAGGAGTTCAATCCCCAGAACTACCAAACAAAGCGTTTGTGCTTTTCACTATCAAGCTGAATAGACAGGGAAATCCAAATAATGATTACAAGCTTACTGCAGGGATTCACTAGAGTGTCCTTGGCTAAGGATTTCTGTCACCTGGCACTGTTTAGTTGTGTTCACCTTGAAGAGCCTGGCAGCTAATGGAAAGGGCAAAGCCTGAGGCGAAGGATTTAGAGAGCAGAGCAGGGTGGGAAGCTTCCCCACACAAGTTCCCGTCTGCCGTGGGGGCCAGCTTCCCTGGGCCCTCAGGAAGTCGTGGTTTAAAGGAACATGGGAAAGAGAGGGGTAAAAGTAGGAAGAAAGAGAGAGAGCACAAAGACAGAGAGAATGAAGGGTCAGAAGGAGAGGACAGTGGGACAGGAAGGAAGGCGTAAAGACAGCGGGAAAGACAGAGGTGCAAATAGAAGAGAGAAAGAGAAAGGGAAGGATAGAAGAAAGAGAAGTGTAGGGAAGGAGAAAGGAGAGGAGACAGGAGAAAAGGAAAAAGGAGCCAGAGGAGAGCCTGGACAGCTGCTATGATGTCCACACACGCCCAGTGCTCTGCACCCTCCTCTCCTCCCCACCAGCCCCTCTGAGATTAGCTTCTCCATGACACTTCCATCTTCTCATCTCACTAATTTTGTTTCCGATACTTTAATTTATTGCATTTTCATGGGGCCCTCTTTCCCTTTAAGGCATTGTAATTAACGGGCCAGTCTAATTTCCTCTGAGACAGCATTCTTAATTGCCGTAATTCTCACTTATGTCTTTTAGGCAAGCCTGCTGGCTTGGGTTCATTTGCATTTGCATCCTCAAGCTCTTTATTTATAAATACGGCATCAGGGGAGATGGTCTTCCCTCAATGCCACATAGTCACGTGGTGTGGTGAGCTTCCTGGGCTCCATCTATCTCTTAACGCCTCATTTATAATTGAAAATCAGCTCGCTCTGATGTACAGTGGACTTTTAATGAACTTCTGCAAAAAATACAAGTTGCTTTTTTTTTTTTTTTTTGGAAAGTAAGCACTGTGTATTAATAACTAGTTTCATGGGTGAACTTAAATTTACTTTCATATTTCTTTTAAAAAGCACAATATTTATAGAAGAAAGCCTGAGTGTGTGTCACATTTTAGGTGTTCTGGACTACACAAACAGTAAGGGTAAGACTCTCATTCCAACCCATGAAAATAGTGTAATGGTCATGGGATCTCCAACTGCATGCGAGAGCAACCTGGAGAGACTTTGACAGCTCAGGTCAGCCCAATACCTGTGGCTGCCACTCACCTTTCCTATAAGGAAAAAAAATAATGTAATGTAAAGCTATTGACCAACATGCCCTACCCCCAACCCAAACTCTAGTGGTCACTGCTTTGTGTCATTTTGACTTTTCACTATAATTTTGACATTTTGTAGGATGCTATATAAATAGTGCCTTTGAACTTTTTGGTTATGCTTATTTTCCCAGGTATGTCTGCCTGTTCGCAAGCCTCATTAAACTTTTTATAGTACACATTGTATTTTATTTTATACATTTTATTCTACTTCCCACCATACATCATGATGTCCTCCCCTTCTTAGGAAACAAAGAGCGTACTTCAGGGTAGCAAAAATTCGACCACCACCACAACAGCACAAGGAGACAATGATTAGGTTGCTGAGCAAAGTGTGAGATCTTTGGGTTTCCCCTTCTTCTTTAGCACTCATAAAAAACAGTGGGAAACTGACCACAATCAGTGAACTCTGTGAGCTTGAGTGGTTCGTTTTACTTCTCTTAACCTCTCCGGCCTTATTTTTGAACTGGAGATGGTAGTATCTACCTCCGAGATTTGGTTGCGAGGATGAACAACTGAATAAGAATATGCTACACGCTCAGAACAACAGCGGCAGTTATGCACGTACTGCCACCCCCTCCTGCTCCTGCTCTCCGCTTCCATCTCTTCTTTATCCTTATCCTCATTCTGATCCTCCTCCCTTCCTTTTCTGCCTCTTCTGTGCCTTCTGTCTCTTCCTCATCTTCTCATTGCACAACAAAGGAGGGGGAGAAGCACCCCTCGGTGTCCCTCAGAGATGCTGGCCCACAGAGTAAGGATCCAGCTAGGACAAGTTCACGCCAAGCCTGGTGTTGAGGTTAGGGGGTGAGAGGTCTTGTAGTGTCCCGGGTGTTACCTGACAGGCACACATCCATGTACATAGTTAAGAAAACTAGAAATCTCTCCTTTCTTTCTCTTGCTGATTCCACCCAGGTTCTACCCCAGGAGTATCACACAGAACTGCCTGTACACAGAACAGCCACCTCTCACGGGGTAGCCTGCTATAGAAACCCTAGAGAAGATTTGGTGTCAGTGGCCGTGCCTGGGAAGTCAGTTGTTCTGTGGTAATAACTTAAAATATTTGGTTTTCTGTTCATTGTGACCCACGACATTATGATTCTATAAAGGAATTCATTATAAAGCAAGGAATTAAGTTAGAGGAAGCTGTGGGACACAATGACAGCAGTCTTCAGAGGGAAATTTATAGTGGTAAATTATCACATCAGATAAATGGGACAAGAACAAGTGAACAACATAATACTACACCTCACGCTATGAAAAAAAGAAGAGCAAGTCAAACCCAAAGCCCAAAGAAGGGAGAAAATTAAAAACATCAGAATAGAAATTAATACAATTGAGGCTAAGAAAACACTACAAAGAATTAATGAATCAAAGAGTTGGTTCTTTGAAAGAATAAATAAAATTCATCAACAACAGGAAAGAAAATCTCAAATTCATGCAATAATGAATGAAAACTGAATCACTACAATTCCTGTGGAAATTCAGAAGATCGTTAATATCTACTATGAAAATATTTACTCTCATTGGATGGGAAACACAGAAGAAATGCACACAATCCTAGAAACATATGTAATACCAAAGCTGGATTAAGAAGATATAAAAATTCTGAATAACCCAATATCAGTTAATGAAATTGAAAATGTAATTAAAAACTTACCAACAAAGAAAACTCGAGGTCTTGATGAATTCACAGCTGAATTCTACAAGAAATTTAGAGAAGATTTAATGCCAATACTCCTCAAACTCTTTAATGGAATTGGACGAGAAGCAGTACTCCATAACTCATCCCTGACACCAAAACCCAGAGAAACACCCAAACACAAAGGAGAACTATAGGCCAGTCTTGTTAATGAACATAGATGCAGAAATCCTCAGTAACATGCTAGCAAACAGAATGCAGCAAATCTTCAGAAATATTGCACACCTTGATCAAGTGAGATTCATCCCAGAAATGCAGGGATGGTTAAACATATGCAAATCAATAAATATAATACGCCATATCCACAGAGCCAAAGACAAAGTCACAGTTCATCTCATTAGATGTAGGAAAAGCTTTTGATAAAGCACAACACTTATTTACAATAAAAAATGCTACAGAAAACTGGACTAGATGATCTTTACCTCAATCTGATAAAAGTCATCTATGACAAACCAACAAAAGTCATACTAAATGGACAAAAAATGAAAGCTTTCACTCTAAAATTAGGAATGAGACCAGAATATCCACACCTCCACTTCTATTCAATATAGTTCTGCAAACATTAGTCAGAATAGTTAGACAAGAGAGAAATACAAGGAATAAAGATAGGAAGGGAAGCAGTTAAAATATCATTATTCATAAACAACATGATACTCTACAAAGAAGACCCCAAAACACCACCAAAAACCCTCCAGATTTAATAACTAAATTCAGTAGCATAGCCAGATACAATTTTAACACTCAAAATTCAGTGACATTCCTGTACACAAACAAAAAACTCACTGAGAGAGAAATTACAGAAATCATACCCTATCACAATAACATCCAAAAGATGAAATACTTATGAATCAATCTAACAAAAGAAGTAAAAGATCTATACACAAGATTACAATACTCTGAAAAAAGAAATTGAAGAGGAATTCAGAAAATGGAAAGTTATCTCTTGCTCATGGATAGGAAGAACTAACATTGTGAAAATGGTCATACTTCCAAAACTGTTATACAGATTTTATGCAATCCTGATCAAAACATCACTAGCATATCTTACAGATCTAGAGAAAACATTCCTCAAATTCATCTGGAACCAGAAGAGACCTAGAACAGCAAAGGCAATTCTGGGCAACAAAGGCAATGCAAGAGGCACCACAATCCTTGACTTGAAGCTATCCTGCAAATCTACTGTGATAAAGACAGCATGGTACTGGCACAAAACATACCTGAGGATCCACAGAACAAAATAGAAGATGTAGACACAGCTGCAAACACACTCAGTCTTGACAAAGAGGCCAAATATGTTTATTGGAAGAAAGACAACCTCTTTAATAAATGATGCTGGAAAAACTGGTTTTCTATAATATCAAAAATTAAAACTAGACCCATGTTTATCACCATACACTAAACTAAAGTCAAAATAGCTCAAAGATCTAAATATTTAAGCAGAAACACTAAATCTACTAACAGAGAAAGTAGGTGAAATCTTGAAGACATAGGGATAAGCAGAGAATTCATGAACAAAAACCAAACTGCATGAGAAATATTTCAAAGAATAAACAACTGAGATCTCATCTTATTAAAGAGTTTTTACACCTCAAAAGAAATAACCAACAGTGTGAAAAGAAAACCCAAAAATTAGAGGAAAATTTTAGCCAAGGATCCTTCCAACAAAAGACTTCTATCTAGAACTTATAAAGAATTTTAAAAAATTGAGCCCCCCAAATTCAAAGACTTAATCCAGAAATGGGCATCTGAAATGAATACACACTTCTCAGAAGAAGAAATAAAAATGACAAATAAATACATGAAAAAGTGTTCATCATTAGTCATTTGAGAAATGCATATTAAAACAACATTGAGATCCCATCTCATCCCAGAAAGAAAGGCCATCATTAAAAAATCATCCGATAAGGGCCTGGGATATAGCTCAGTGACACAGTGCCTGCCTGGCAAGTGTGAAGTCATGAGTTTGATCCCTGGTACAAAAAAAAAAAAAAAATCCAATAATAAATGCTGGTAGGACTATGGGGAAAAAAAAGCAATATTTCTCCAGTGTTAGTGGAAATGTAGACTGTTACAGTCACTGTGGGAATCAGCGTGGAGATTCCTCAAAAAACTAGAATTAAAGATCCCAATAAACCCAATTATTCCCCTTCTGGGTATTTTTCCAGAAGAATTGAAAACATCATACCACAGCAATATATATGCACCCATGTTTATAGCAGCACAATTTGTAATAGCTAAATCTTGGAAACAAACCAAGTTCCCATCAACCAAGGAATGGACCAAAAAAAGATATGGCATTTTTATACAACTCAGTTATAAAGAAAGATAAACTCTAGGCTTTTATAGATAAATGGATGCAACTTGAGACCATACTCATAAGTGAAATAAATCAGATTTGCATGTGCAAATATCACATTATCTCCCTCGTGAAATAAACTGAAAAAGTAAATAAGATCCAAAATATACAATAGATATTGTGAAAGGGGAAAAAAAAACCTGCTCAAAAGGAAAGAACAACTGGGCTAAAAGAAAGGAAAAGGCAAAAAGAAAGAAGGATTAAAAAATAGAAGATAATTTTACTATTCATTCTATTAGTTCATTGAAAGAAACAGTGCTTTTATTGTTCAATCAATTTTGCATGTCTATATGTGGTAATCTGTATCAAAGACAACTATATGAAATAGAATAACTATTATCAATTTTCTACCATTTTGTTTTGAAACTGTATCCTTTTCTACTATCTTTGAATTGTATCTATAATATCTCCCTCTAAAAGTCCATTGTTGTCAAATGGAAAATTTTTATTCTCTTTTTTTAGTGTGGAAATCAAACTCACAACCTCACACTTACCAGGTAGGTACTTATGCCACTGAGCTATATCCCCAGCCTTTATTCTCTTACTCCTATTGAAATATTTTCCATTTATATTGCAGTAAAATACATGTAACGTAAAATGTACCACCTTAACAATTCATAGACTATAATTCCGTGCTACTGCATACATCCGTAATGGTGTGCAAACATCACCACCCTCCATATCTTGAGCTCTCTTTCTCACAAAATTTCAATTCTTTGCCCACTAAAAAATAACTCCCCACTTCCCAACCTCCCCCAGGACTTTGCAACTGCCACTGTAATTTCAGTTTCTAATTTTGACTATTCCAACAGTCTCTCATGTACGAAATCACCCAGTATTTGCTTTTCGTGTTTGGTTTATTTCATTTAGCATAGTGTCATTCAGGCCCACCCATGTTTTAACAGGTGTCA